TCAAAGTAAATTCTTTAAAATTACTTTGGAAATGATATGAAATAGCACTTAAAGTTTTGCTCCTTGCACTATTTTTACGTGAAAATCATGACCAAGAATTTTATGAAGGCAAGACTAAAATCAAAGTCTTCGAAATTTTTAGGCTGCTAGGCTGTTATCTAGACTTATTTCGAAGTTAGACTTAATGTAAAACATCAAAGTGTAACAAAAATATATTCTGCTTACTTCAAAACTCATTTCACCACGTTTTTATTGAAAGAAAACATGTTTCGTAAGGTTTACTTAAGAATCGTTTTAAATATTCAGCATATCGAAAAGATTTAATAAAGATTGATACTAATATAATTAGTATGGCAACTCTCTTTTGGTTATTTGTGAGCAAAATAATTATCACGTTATCTATAATTTGAATAATTATTAGTATGAGTTCATACTCGAACGAATTGATAATGAATAATGATACTGTGTACAATACAGAGATGTCCATCGCGCCGCTGCCGCGATGGCCTGTGGCGGCAGCGGCAGGTTTTTTAAAAAATCACCGCGGCAGCGGCGCGGTAGCGGTAGATTTTTTAAAAATCATCGCGGCAGCGGCAGGTTTTTTAAAAGACCATCGCGGCAGCGGCAGGATTTTTTTTGGGGAACATTGAAAAACTGCATGAATTTAATAGAATTTCAGGGTTTACAAATGAAACACCCCGAGACTGAATGAATCTGATGGACTAGTACCAATATCTCTGGTCAAATATAGTCGCAGCAGTGAAATTAGAAACACTTTTTTGTAAACCGACGCGGCAGCGGCGCGGCGGCGGCACGTTTATTTGATAATTCATCGCGGCAGCGGCGCGGCAACGTTTTTTTTATAAGCCATCGCGGCGCGGCAGCGCCGCGGCAACATTTTTTTATAGACCGTCGCGGCGCGGCTGCGGTGCGGCAGCGGCAGATTTTCAGCCGCGATGGACATCTCTGGTACAATACTAGTAAACATGATTTTAGTTTGTACATTGTTGAAGTAAGAGTGACTTTTAAAAAAAAAGATTCGACTTACAAAAGAAAACTCCCTTCATTTATTGATGTAATTGGAGAAAGCAATGGCAGATTTATATTTACAAAAATCTATTAAATCAAGAAAATAAATAAAAGATTAAATTTTAAATTTTTTAAAACTTATATATAAGAAATTTAATTTTTTAAATATTAAATATAATTTAAATCAATTAAATTCGGTTCTATTGAGTATCTAAATTTAAATCTGAAAGAGTTTAAATAAAAAATGTATCAAGAAAAGACCACATTAATTGGACATGGGCACCAAAGAAATAATAATTTTCAATTCAGTAGAATGGAAATTGAAAATATAATTTAGTAAGTTTACGCGAGACTCTAAATGACAGTAGAATAAACATTTATATCATCAGATTATTTTAGTTGAACGGTTCGTATATATGTCTTATACTCCTATGTTCTCGTGTTCGAATCCGTGTCTTGACTGCATCAAAAATTCATGTAAGTTATAGTTCTGAAGGTCTATGAAAAAATGTAAACGAGTATATAAATTGTACCTGCAATTCAAGATCTATGAAGTCATTGGCGGTTTTCAGTTTTTCTTCCATCTAGAATATATGATATCACAGTTTGAGAAACGCTGCAAAATCTTTCACAAAAACAATCGTTACACAGTGTTTGTTTTAGCAGATGTGAAACGCGTCAAACCGGTCAACATTAACGCGTTTTGCAGCTATAGAAAAACGCGTTTTTTTCGCAGAAATTTACACCATGGGTTATGCGATAAATGGAAGCTTATTCACCGATTGGACAAAACAAAGAAGTGGACAAGAGCGAGCGGTTGCAGTGAACTACATAAAAGCACAGATTGAAGAAATAATACAAAGAAAGTTTTCTCTGTAGCGATTTGTTTGACCACATACACAAAAAATATTCTCATCATTATGTTATATGCATGTTCTTTCTCCTTCCAGCGAGAATGAGACAGGAAAGAGCATACATTTAGTATTATTCATATTTCTTTTCTAACAATCAGGATAGGACACAATGTGCTAATCACATGACATTCCTTTTATAAGTAATTTTACGCGAAAGCATAGAGTTTTGATGAGTAATCAAAGAAAAGTATTCATATCACTGAAACTACGAATTTATTTTTAGTTGATATCAATACAAAAAATGTAGTACAGATAAAAGGCTATCTAAACATATATACAGCAAGGATTTTGCTCTTTCATAGGGTGTGGGATGTGTGGGTGTGGGTGTGGGCGTTTGTGATGATAAATAGAAGATCCACACCCACACTCACACCCACACGCACACCCCCCCCCCCCCACCCACACCCACACCCCACACCCACACTAATACATAGGATTAAAAAAACACTAGATCAAAAATTGTCAAAAACTTGAGAAATGTGTTCTTCCAGGATGGCAGTATTTTGCACTTTTCTCACACTGTAAAAGAGATGTCGCAGTTCTTTTTTAACCAGACATAGATCTCATGAAGACACATCTTTTGATAGTAAATTGTTCAATGTAAAAAACTCGGGGGCGAAGCTAGCATTTTATCTGAAATCAGTTTTCAAGATTTCTAAAAAAATTCTTTCGTTTCCAGGGCTGGGGTTAATGGTCATTATGTACGATAGACCATACTGTGGTCCATGCTAACTTGGTCACCCAGTTTTTTACATTGGACAATTTAATGTCACAAGATGTGTCTTGATTGGATCTATGCCTAGTGAAAAAAAGAACTGTAGCATCTCTTGCACCATGTCAGAAAAGTTCAAAATACTGCCTTCTTGGAAGAGCACATTTATCAAGTTTTCGACAATTTTTGATCCATAGCGCTCTTTTAATCCAACATATTAGTAACTTAAATAGCATGAATTTGTAGCCTATACTGTTATCTATCAAATGCGACGTCTCCGAGCTCTAACGATCAACACGGTGCTGAGATAATGTCAAAATACTGAACACACCCTCCAAATAGCGATTTTTGGGCTCAAAGTAAGCCCTTAAAACTTGTTTTAGCTAGCGTTTTTGATAGACAAAAGCAAATGACTTAATATTTTGGATTTGAATATGGTTTGACTAGATCTTTCATTTAAGATACTAGAATCGAAAAAAACATTTTTTCCCGGCGCCTCTCTGTTAGAGTAAGGGGGGTTCTCTGGCGGGCCCTCTCTTAAGTGGAAACACATGATTTTCTGTCCAAAAAGTTGAGTCTTTCAGAGTACTCAGATCAGTGCTGCTGGCTAAGGATATCAGGATCTGCGTTCTTCCGGGTTCCGCTCTCAAAGAACGCGAACGCACTTCGAATCGTCATTAAGCATGTTCGTCCACAAGAGACTATTTATATCGTTTTGTTGAAACTTTTCTGGTCAGCTGGTACGGATTTCAGGTTCCTAGACACGTGAACTCAAATGGGTTCTGGGTTCCGGATTCCCAAGAACCCAGAACACATTTGGGTTCCCGTTCCCAGAAATCCCGAAACCCGTATCAGCTGACCAGAAAAGTTTCAACAAAACGATATAACCAGTCTCTTGTGGTCGAACATGCTGAAAGACGATTCGAAGTGTGTTCGCGTTCCTTGAGAACAGAATCCCAAGGAACGAGAACCCTGACACTCCTATCAGTCGGTTCTCAAAAAATTTTTCGTCTATCAGAGTTTATGGAGCCCTCTTTGCAGATCATTTTGATAAAAAGATTTTTTAAATTTGATAAATAAATGACGGTGCTAGGATGAAAATACTGAAAAATTGAGACAGCTCTGTCTGCTAGAGCTATCATTTTTTTTTAATATTTTGACTCTAGCGCCATCATTTATTTATCAAACTTAAAAAATCTTTTTATTAAAATGATCGGCAAAGAGAGCTCTACAAAGTCTGATAGATAAGAAATTTCCTGGGATCTATTTGTTTTCGTGGTTGACTATCCATGAAAATCCTCAATTATATGTCTGAAATTTTGAAACTTTTGGTAATTCTTTAACTCATACTCATTCTATGAATAACTATTTATACTGCTAAATCCCGTGTTCGACGAGCTTTCGTTTGGTATAAAATTCAATGTTGATATCATTAGTATTTGGAGCGGTATTCCTGGAAAAATATTATTTGCTATCCCGTAGAATCAAATGGCGTTCAATGTGTTAATACGATAATCAATCCTAGACGAAAATCAAATTTTTTTCATTTCAGCAAAATTCGATTCGTGTGTGTCATATAGAGGATCAATCATTGATAAGGACATTCGCATTCAACAACTCGATTCTCAATCCAATTCTCCTTTATTTCATTTTGATAATGGATCAAGGTGATGAACATCGTGCTCAAATACTGAAGACAATCGAATGATCTCCTCGGTTAAGGTTCAAGTCAAGTTATAGAGATATCGAAGAGGTCATATCTTAGCTAATACACTCTTTTATCACAATAATATTTTTAAATACCATATCATTTTCCACAACACATTTGGAACTGTTTTCAGTGGTGATTCGTTCTTTTGAACAATCAAACAAAATCAATCACTGAACATAACGTGGATCAACAGCTGGAGTCTCTTCTCAAAACGACTACAGGAACTTCAAAAGACTAAGAAACAGGAAAAGTGTTTAGTTTCCAATGGTGACTAGAAATCTTTGAGGAACATTGAATATTATCATAAAACCAATGAAAGTTATTTTCGAACTTCAATTTTGTCTCTATTCAACAAAATAAATATAAACCTAATCAGATCTCCAACGAACTAAAATTTATTTGAATAACCATGATTTTGTCCCTCCTTATCAACGAGCTCTCAGAACCATAGTAACAGAAATATTTCATCAAGATAAACTGAATTATTCTAAGGCACGACAGTTTAATATTGACTTCGAAGGATACAATTTCATTTTATTAGAATAAAAAAGTTCGACTGTTCGAATATTGCGTGAAAGATAAACACCATTTATCAATAGCGAACAAACTATTTATCACTAATGTAATGTGTCTATTATGGATTATACAACTCAACAGTATCCGGATTACCACCGGTCACTAACACTTTACCATTTATTAATCTGCATGCAATGTGCTGCTCTCGTGCCTCCTTCATGCTCTCAGTGGTTGTCCAATTTTCTGTTGATGGATCATACAATTCAGCACTATTCAGAGGATCACTCTCACCCGCAGTAGATCCGCCAGTAACTATCACTTTCCCATTGAGTAATATGGATGCTGTGTGATATACTCGTGCCTCATTCATACTGCCAGTAGTTGTCCAAGTTCCTGTTGATGGATCATACAATTCAGCACTATTCACAGGACCAAAATTACCATAGCCACCAACAACTAGCACTTTCCCATTTTCTAATGTGGATGCTGTATGAGACTCACGACCATAATTCATACTACCAGTAACTGTCCAAGTTCCCGTTGATGGATCATACAATTCAGCACTATTCAGAGAACCCTCGTGCTTACCCTCATCCCCACCAACAACTAACACTTTTCCATTTGTTAATAAGGACGCTGTGTGCCCAGCTCGTGCCCTATTCATGTCACCAGTTTTTGTCCAAGTTTCTGTTGATGAATCATACAATTCAGCACTATTCAGAATGTTATTACCAACATTACCATGTCCACCAATAACTAATACTTTTCCATTTGTTAATACGGATGCGATGGGCAACAGTCGTGCGTCATTCATGCTACCAGTAGTTGTCCAAGTTCCCGTTGATGGATCATACACCTCAGCAGTATTCATATGATCACTTCTACTGTTAGCTCCACCAGCAACTAACACTTTTCCATTTGTTAATAAGGATGCTATGTGCCTATCTCGTGCCTCATTCATACTACCAGTATTTGTCCAAGTTCCAGTCGATGGATCATATAATTCAGCACTACTTAAATGAGTACGATGACCACCACCAGCAACTAACACATTCCCATTTGTTAATATGGATGCTGTATGGTCAGTTCGGACAGTAATCATACTACCAGTAATAGACCATTCTAAAAGAAGCTTTTTAATATATGCAATCTGCAAGCAAAATGTGTCACTGAGCAGTTAGAGAGAGTACCCCAAAGAACACTTGAGATCGTAGAAGAAAAAAACGTTGGTTTTAGTTAGTTGTCTCAGACAAAAGGTGTACTCATATTATAGTCAAATTCACGGTATGAGATCATTTGGTTTTATCTATGCAAATACAAAGCAAAACACAGTTTACATATCATTAGAAATTGATTTCCTTGAGTTAAAAATAATAAGTAATAATAATGAATAGATTAGGCAGTGTAAATTAAGTTTTACATATCGATTGAAATTTTCGACCTTATTTCATTTATGATCTAATAATGATCTGAATAATGAATTTGTACGGTCACCGCCAGCAAGTAACACCATCTGTGACCCTAATATTTAAGCAGACATGCATTTATACTCTAATTTAATTCAGTTTGAAAGTTATACATTTATGTTTATGTTGATGGTTACTAGGCACTTGTTATTTCATATTATACTTAATATTTGTATTTAATGTTGCCCTTAGTATTATCTACATATCTATTGGTATACGATATTGATTACTTGTTATCTAGCATTGGTATTGGTATAGGTTTATTGGTATTTGATGGTACGATTTTGGTTTCCGTTCAAAACTTAATATTAGGGTCACAGAAGATGTTACTTGCTGATGATGACCGTACACATTCATTATTCAGATCACTATTAGATCATAAATGAAATAAGGTCGAAAATTTCAATCGATATGTAAAACTTAATTTACACTGCTTAATCTATTCACTATTATTAAGTTTACAGATCAATTTTCGGTTCTGAGAATCGTTGAAAGTAGGTGTATTTATTATTTTAATCTTCTCTCATGAACACCAGCTCCATTTGAGTGCAGGGACACCCGATCAGACAAATAATCGTAGAGGCTACAAAAACACCTGGAAAGATCTATTGTCATCCCTAGCGCGAAAAAGTCACAAGTCAAAGTTGGTATCGACATTACACTCCAGTCGATGGCTAATCGAATATCTCCTATCGATTAAACTAATAGCAGCAATGTTGAACGTATATGAACTGTGGAAATTGTTTGAAAAAGAATTGATTCATTATCAAAAACAAACATCATATATTGTTCCTCCAACTTCAACTATTGCTGAACAAAGTCGATTAGCTATAGAATTCAAAAACACGAAACTCTTCCTACTTATCAACAGACAAACCCATAACTTGGGCTCATTTGCATATGACCCTCCGTGCTAAATTCTACATGATCGGCGAACTTTGGAGACATTTTTCAAAAGAAAACACCAATAACATTTTCGATGCACACATTTCTTCGTATTATTTTCTATAATGAATAGTGTTAAAAGATTCTTGTCTCATTAATCCTTTCTTGTCTATCAATTTCTTCTCTAATCTTCAAGATCCTTTTTTCGGACTAGAGCAATTGTGACACTTTAACTTTGTGAACACTTTAAAACTTTAAGTTTGGAAAAAGAAGATTAAAATAGACGAGGTTCAGCTGTCGTTACTTTTCTCAATAATGTGTATCCAATAACGGAAAATCTGTCTTGCCGATATCGTCAGAGGGTTTCTGTGTTGTCAGATTTACCAGTTTCAACGAACTCTCATAGAATACTCTTGAAGTCGAGACATCCACGCTGCATGGCAATTCTTCAGCAAATCAGATTCTAGCGAAGATTTTCTCTACTATAGTAAGACAAAACATATTGTTCTTCGAATCATGTGAGAGAACATCCCTCCTAAACCGTGATTGTCTCGAACAATACCATATTTTATCTGTAC